AGAAGATTTCGTGATGCAGGAAAAATACATAAAATTCAAATTTCAGTGTCCATAAAGTTTTATTGGAGCACAGCCACATCCTGCATGATCTGCCCTGGCTACTCTTCCAACCTCAACAACTACACCTCTGCCCTCTGACTCACCCCCTCCAGCCACAGTCCCCCTGGCTAATACCCAGATGCCCAAGTCAACTCCCTACCCCCACCATGGCCATTGCCCTGATGGTTGCCTCTGCCTCCTCACTCCCTTCAGGGCTCTGCACAAACTTAACTGAATTAGAGAGATCTTCCCTACTGTCACTGTGTCCCCTCCCCCTACTTGATTTTTTTCATGGCGCTTATCGCCCCTGATAAATGTACAGATTTGTATATTGTCAGCCTCCACCCACCACACTTGGAATACAAGTTCCAAGAGCATTGAAACATTGTCTTATTTCCTGCCACATTCCCAGCCCCTAGATCAATGCCTAGATATAGTAGGTGCCCAGTAAATACTTGTTGAATAAATAAATGAATGAATTGTCAAATATTGGAAAGTTCCAATGAGAGAAAAAGGCGATTCTTTATGAACTAGGACATCACAACTAGCCAAGGCTTTCCTGATGCAGGGGGGGCCTCAGGGTGTCTTTACTGTATTACACCCTAGTGTCTTAGTAGGAACTGTAAGAAGTAGTGGCAAGGGAGAGAGAAAAGTAGACTCACCACCATAAAAGCAACCTAAGAAGAAATGTTTCATCTCATCTCAACTACATTCCCAATTATATCCAGTTTCCACTCTCTCTTCTTATTCTAAATGGTAGGAAAAAGTTGGGCCTAGAAATGTGGTCAGAAACAATTTTATTGTCACTTGTGTCCCGATTTCTCTAGCACCTCTATCCAATTGTGATAATAATGAATGTGGCTGGGAGCTCCAGGTCTTATTACATCAAGTTCTACATGGAATCATCTGTGTGACAAATACCATATTCTTATTTCAGAAATTGTCTTTTTAAGAGGTTTACAGTTAAAGGTTTATCTACGAATCTAAATCAGGATTTTTAAATTAAAAAATAAGTCACACAAAGAGGCACTATATTAAAGATGTAAGATATAGGGGGTTCTTTCGTATCCTGGGTACCAATAATATGGCTATAGTGATATAAAAGCTTCAACAATCAGTTATAAGTGACTAACTAGGTTAAAAATAAATCCGTGTATAATAGAAACATATAACTCAACACATTTAACTACAAGGTTATAAGTGAAGAAGAAATTAATGGAAGATATTTCAGATGTCCTTTGTGCCAAGGACTGTGCTTGACAGAAAAGTAGACCAGAGCTCCTTGGGCCATTTGACCAGCAACAAAGTCAATGGACTTTCCTGTACATGACTTTGGAAGTAGAAACAGGGTGGGGAGTAAGAGTGGGTCTGCTTCCTGGAATTAAATATGGAAAGTTCACGTCAGCCCTTGTTCAATTCACTTGAGAGACATTTTCAGAAGAAGGCAAGTGACACAAAAGTAATGAAGTCTTATGAGCCATGTGCCTTCTTATGAAAGTTAGAGGTATCCCCCATTCATGTGGATCTTGGACTTATTCTAGTCTTACACAAAATTTCAATGACTCCATCACCCAGAAATATTCTTCTATCAGTGAAATTAAGAAAGAGGTTGGATAAAAGAGGTAGTATACAGAGAAGATGAAGAATGAAACAAATTTTGTCAGAAAAAAAGTTGTGAAAGCCTATCATGACCTAAAATTATTCCTTTATTGCCATATTGACATGTCTTCAACAGTGGCATTGAAAAGATTTATGAAGGCTGGCTTCCCCTAACATCTTAAGAAGACTCCCAAGATTCCTGGTGATAAGAATTGTGTATTAAATAAGCCAGAAATAATGCTAGCCAAAAGGCCAATGTGAATGGCAGGGCAGTGACACTGCAAGTCCTTACTTACCAAATGTCCAGAGTGCCTATCACATTGTACTCAGGGATATCAAATATAGATGGGAGTCTGTGTGGATGGAGCACTCTAGAGTTGTGCAGTGCACAACCTGTGAAACTGAATATGACTATCTGAACTGTATAAAAGCTGGAGAAAATAGAAACTGAAATAAATCCCATGTCTAGGCAGTAATCTGACTATATTAGTGAGCCAAGCATAGGCATTGGGTAACCTTACTTCTAAAAGAAAACGTGTTCTTAGACTGAGAAACTTAACATGTAAACAGTATATACAATGGATTTGAAATCTCAAGGTGAGATTTTCAAACAGATTTGTCTCAGTTCAAATGTTCCACACACTGCTGACCCCAAACAGCTATACTTCCAAGCGCAAGTGGCAAGACTAATGAAAGTAGGATGACTTATGCTCAAATGGCATTAAACACGATTGTCCAGGATACTAGGAGATGTTTGCATGGTTGCTGGAAGAAAAAACTGTTCACGGACACATAGAACTGTAGTAGAGGCAATGCTAGTCTAGACTGAAAAACAGGACAATGTTCAAAGCTAGAAAGTGAAAACTGGGCCAGGGTTGGTGGGAGGGCAACCTAGGGACAGAACTGGCAACAACATCCATTCTGGAAACTAGGTGATTAGAGGAGGGGAGGATGGGGAGAAGAATATGCTCGTGGACATAGTACTGAGGAAGACCATGACAATTTCTTACAATAAATGAAATATTTTTATCTCAAAAAGCAAGAAAATCAAATTAAACACCAGCATTCTAAACCATTATCATCTTGAATATGTTTTGACACTAAATTTTAATTTCAACAAGAACACTAATGCGAAGAATATACTTCTTCTTAGATTTTCTCTTGAGAAAAAGTTGGGGAAAAAAGAAAACTATAACCAATATTATATACCCCATTATCCCTCAGCACCCTGGCACATCTATGCCAAAACTTCTCTTTAACTATAGGCAACTCTTTCCTTCATACCTGAAATCATTTAACTTAGCTGAGGGTTGGGTGGCCATAAGCTCAGTATATGTAGCTTCACTTTTTAAAGGAAATGCTGATATATAAGAAAGAAATTACAAACAGTATTAGTAAGCATATAACGCTGCATCTTCCATGTGTAAGGACCTGTTTTCTGTCATATGCAAATTAAGCTGCTCTCCTCCGTTGTCCCATTAAACAAATTTATATGTTAACAGTAAATTCAAAACATTTAAAACTTCACAGTGCTCAGGACACCTAAAGAATTCTTGGTGTTGGTACTCTTTAAAAGAGCTAAGCAACCTAAAGAATATTACTTGTTTCCCACAATTCAGAGTCTCCTCTCTTGTACCATCAAATCAATTGATGTTTTACAAGTAAAACAGAAACATTTTAAAACTCGAAGAGCTCAGCACATCTAAAGGATTTCCAACTTTTGTGGACTTAAAAAAAGCTGGACTGTCTGGAAAGTCTTATTTGCTTCAAACAAGTCAGGCTTTTTCTCCTGTTACTTATGCTCAAAATCGGATTCCCCTTTCCCTACAATCTGGCCTTGAGATCCAACATCAAGGCTGGTGGCAGTGAAGTGGAGCTGGAGACTGTGATTTGTCCCATGTACCTTTGGAATTTGAAAAGTTAGAAAGGTGTGCGTTGCTAGACAAGGGGACTCTCTACCCCTAACTCGGTGTTGTTCGACCTTTTTTTATTATCAACCCCCACCTATGCCAACCAGGAGACTTTTTAGACATTTTTTCTTCTATGAAATTTTAATACAGATATACCATATATATGTTTATGCCCTGTATGTATATCTGTGCTTTATATATCAAAAAAGTAGGCCAGGCGCGGTGACTCACGCCTGTAATCCTAGCACTCTGGGAGGCCGAGGCG